ACACCCAGACACATGCTATGGATCTGCACATCCACAGCATGATTACACATGCACATTCACTGGTATGCACAGACCCCAATACATTTGTGTGAACATATTTCCCCTTCGCAGGCCCGTGGGCCCTGCTGGCCGCTTGCAGAAGGGAGCTCAGAAAGCTGCAACCCAGCCTGGGTGAATCTTGGGGATTGCCGGTACCCAGGTCCTGGGGGCCAGGTTCTGGGCCTCAGTCAGGCACTGTCAAAGCCTCTGACTGGTCCCTGTGGTAGCCCTCTGCTAACACCATCCGATGCCCAACAGTGCCTTCCAGGTGCCCTGGTGCCCCTGGACTCCTCAACTTGCCCTGGATGGAGAGGCTAGAAGAGTTCCTGGCAGGGCAAACCTCAGGGCCTGGCATCTCCCCTCTCTGGAACCTCAGAGCCTGGACAAAGCTTCCAGAGCTGGCCTCAGTGCCTGCACTGGACAGGGATTCTGCCGTCCTGCTTTGCTGGCCTTTGTTTCCCCCTGAAGGCCTGGGCTGGTATGTCTGCCTCAGGGCTTTGTGTCTGTTGCTCCTTGCTGCAGCCCCTCCCCAAGATGTCTGCAGACTGGCCAAGCCGTCTCCCGGGGCCTGCGTCTGTCACCTTGGCAATTACTGTGCCAACTGGTGTCTTGGTCCCTGACCTCCAGCAGGCAGGGATGGGGTGGGGGTGCCCAGTCCCCTCCCACTGAAGGGGGTGGGAAGAGAAAAAACACAAGGGCAGGATGGAGGGCAGGAGCCTTAGTGGACCCTCCAAGGTGCTCCAGGATGCCAGCTGTGGACGTGGCCTCGGGTGCCGTCTGCCTGCCTCCAGGCTCGGTCTTCTCTGTGCAGCCCCATGGGTGGAAAGAGGCCCATGGGGGTCCTGATGCTTCCAGACACAAAGCCTGGGGCCGAAACCGGGGCCCTGGGTTCCTGACCCTGAGTTTGGAGCAAACCTGCCTGGCCCAGTCTGGTCACTGGGTCCTAGGACACAGAGCATGATGCAAGAGGAGGCCCAGTCACCTGACTGGAGCACCTCCCACAGTCCATAGGGTCAGGTGGGATCACAGAGATTTTAAGAGATATGCAGACAATGGTGTTGCACCAGAGACTGAGGTCTCGGGCTGGCACTGCCTGGGAGCCTCAGAGCCTGGACCAAGATTTCTAGCGGGGCCCAGCAGCAGTGACCATGGGGCCTGGTACAGCTCCCTCACACACCAGGCCTAGGATGCCACTGGCTCCTGGCCCGTCCTGCCTGGTGGCGGGTGCCAGGAGCCAGGGTGCAGCCAGCCCAATTCCCTGGTAGAGATGGGGGCTCAGGACTTCAGCTCATGCCTCCTCCTGCTCACGCTGAGTCCCAGTTCCCTTTCACTAGTCAGTGCCTGCTAGAGGTGACTCCTGCTCAAGGAAGGGCCCTGCCTGTTCATCCAGGAGTGAAATACCAGGGGACTCTGGGGCACAGCCCCCTGGGAGGGTCATCCTGCAGATGCCTGGCCCTGAGGAGACTGCAACTATGACTGCGCTCCACGCCCAGCCCCGCCTGCCCTGAAGCCCCACCCTGCCCGCCCGACTGCCGGGAACCCCAGGGAGGGAGGGATCTGGTTGTGCAATTGGCCTCTCCTGGAAGCCATCGCTGCACCCCACCCAAGGTTCTGCAGAGGGGAGGGACCTATTGGCCCTCCCAGGGCTCTGCACCCCTCAGCCTCAGCCAGGGTTGGGGTGAGGAGGCCTCCCCAGGCTCCTATCTGTCCCCATGGCTGAGCCTCTGCCCCCAACAGCTGCCCCACGATGCCCTCCCAGTGAGCCCAGGCGCCCCTGTAGCTCCACACAGAGGCCCCGTGTGCCTCTGGCCAGGGCTCCCTGCCGCAAGCTCTCCTCCCGGGATCTTCACAGTGCCAGCAGCCACAGCCTGGCACAGGGAGGCCGTGAGCGGGTCACCGCGACCCGGCTGGGACTGTGCCCAGCTTCTCACAGCCGCCTGACAACTCCATGTGCCCAGGTGTGAGCTTGAAGCTTGCTCTGTGTTTCCTCTGGTGCCTGCTGAGGTCAGGGCTTCAAGGGGACCCCAGGAATCGATTCCCCTTACTGTGCAGCTTTGCCACCAAAGCCTACTTAGGTTTCATTTCTGGACCTGCCTTCACGAGGCCCACACTGCCCAAGGTTGGTTCTGGAAACACAGGCTGCGTCCTGGTTACTCCAAGATGCTGAGCTGGCCAGGGGCCCAGTGGGTGATGAGGCCCATGAGGGAGGACACTGTGGTGGCAGGAAGAGCAGCCCCACCTTGAGGGCTCTGGACAGGAGAGGGGCACAGCTGGCTTCGGCCCATTCTGTGACTCAGCAGACAGTAATTCCCAACCCTCTTGGGAGCAGACCACGCCTCTCCAGGGTTCCCCCAAGAGCAGAGGTTTCCAGAACACGACTGAAAGAAGCCTTTAGACACAAAATCAGGGCGGGGGATAGGGCTCAGTGGTAGATCTTGCCTTGCATGCATACGGCCCTGGGTTCTGTCCCCAGCAAAATACCCGTGCTCGCTCACAAACACACACACACACACATAGAAAATCAGCAAAACTAGCTGGTATTAGGCTCCATGGTGATAGGGTCTCACCCAGCAGAGAACAATCAGAGCTCAGAGCTGGCGTAAGGAAAATGACTGTGTGGGCAGAGTGAGGAGTACAGCTTGTAGAGGTGGAAGAGCGGGAAGGAGAACCAGGAAGCCTGACCTGAAGGAGGCAGGACAGGGCTGAGGTCACCCTGCCCCTCTGCTACAACCCCTACACTCACATGGCCAGCGCACAGTCCTCAGGGAGGGTCAAGGTATTATACTGGCACCCACTCTCCAGTGCCCTAGATGGACCCAGGCTCTGCGGACAGCGAAACACGGCCTGCACTAGGGCCTGGCTCTCTGCTGAGGGTACTGGGGGGTACTGTCACAACTGTCATTGTGAACCCTGCAGACATGAGTGCAGGGGCACTTGCTTGATCTTAGTGGCCAAGGGGTGCTGCAACCCCAGTGATGTCTGTGGGGGACGGACTGAGCACCCCCAGCAGACCTCACCCTGAAGCCTCAAAACTGAACCAGACTCCTCTGCTGTTTCTAGCACATGGGTCACCCAAGTCCTTGGGGTGCAGGGGTGTCTGCAGGCAGCTTTGGCACATGTGTCCAGGTGCATCCCCTTCCCCAAGTTAGGCAGCCCAGAGCAGTCAGGACAGCAGGGAAAGATGGCTGGAGGGAACCCCAGCATCTTCCTGTCTGTGTCCACTCCCGGCCCTGATGTCCTATGGCACCACAGTCCGAAATTACAAGCCAAACTACCAGGAACTGACACTCACTCACCATGAGCCAAAATTAATAAACGCTCCTCTTAGTTGTTATCTCAAGTATTTCATCATCATGACGCAGAGCTAACAGCTTGTCTTCCTGGCAACTCGACTTGAAATCCAGCTCAGGAATTCTGCCTGTCTCTAGGCCAGGAACTTCTCCAGACTCACGGCTGAGGTGCTTCTCAGCCTGCATGTCCTCATGGCTGCTCCTATAGACTGGAGCTGGGAGGCTAAAGAAGAAGCTGGGCTAGCTGGGTGGGCTGCATCCAAGGGCTTCTAGCCTGCCATCCCAGGGCTAGAGGTTCTGGCCTCTCACACCCCCTCAGGGTCCTGGCCCTGCCCCCACTCTTAAGCCTCAGCAACTTCTAGTGTCGGAGGGCATGGCAGTGGGTGCAGGGGCCATCATACCCTGACATACACTAAGTGGGTTCCTGCCTCTGTGGGCCCCAGTATCCCCATAGGTAAATGGGTGGGGAGCTCTTGCCCCAAGAAGCTGAGTGGTAGCCCCAGATTGGGTTGTGCAGGCTGACAGCATGGGAAAGAGGTGTTGAGAGACTGAAGGACCACAAGGAGGTGGAGGGGTGCTGAGAAAGCCTCCCCCACTTCTTCCAGCGGGTCTGCGCTTACCGGGTTCTGCACGCTCCAGCACATTCCTACAGGGATGAGAATGCCAGGACCCTACCTACTCCCTGGGCCCGGGCCTGTGTCCCCTCCCTCCCACCTGGGCACAGCCCCATGGCTCAGCATCCCTCAAGCTGACTGGTGGCCTCCCAGCCTTCCTGGGCACCTTGCCTGATCTGTCTGCAGCAACCCCCCTCCCCCACATACGTAGATGAGGGTGCCTGGGCCTCTGGGGACCCTGTACCCATGTAGGGAACGCTCCTAAACTCACTCTTCAGAGTGGTGCTAGGACTCCATTCTGGGAAGGCCTCTCCTGCAGCCTAGGGGCTCAGGCCCTGCCCGGGTGGCAGGAAGACATGGGGCCCTAGGCCCAGCTGCTCTGCACCTCTGCGCTCATGGGCAGAACTTAAGGCACCAGGTCTCCCACCCCACCTCCTGATGTACACACCCATGGGAGCCTCTGCTTTCCTCGAGAGCTCAGCAGTGTCTCAGGGCCACCCTCTGGGGACTGTGGACAGCTCTCAGTGCCCCCCAGGCTGAGGGCTTGGTGACTCAGTGTGAAGGGGAGGCTGGCCTCTCAGGGCCTGAATCAGCCCCAGCAAGGATGAGCTCAGTGTGATCACTGATGGGCAGGTGGGCGGACATGCGGAGGGAGGACGGGCAAGGAGACACAAGAACAGGTAGGTAGAAGGGATGGGGATGAGGCTGAGTGGGCAGGTGGGTGGCATGGACCCCACAGTTAGTAGGTGAAAAAGCTGGCCCATGCCAGGGACCAGCCATGAGATCCTTGTCACTGGTGGGTACAAAGGTCTGGCTGCTGCGAGACACTGCCCTCCTTCGGGAAACTACTACAGGAAGTGACACCCTGCCAGCCCTGGAGCTGCTACCCATCTACCAATCTGTCTCATGGGCAGAGTAAGCACTGCCCCAGCTGGCTTCACAGTGAAGGCCAGCCAACTGGGCATGCTGTAACATGGGCATCTCTTGCCCCAAGCCCTCTGTCTCCCAGGACAAGGTTCCCACAGGACACCCGCAAGGAGCCCCATCCACAAGACACTTGTTATATACAAAAAAAATTTAATTGAAATACCTGTATAAAAAATATGATCTCCAGACATCTCACACTGTTAAACTGAAAGAACCCCCCTCCCGATGCCTATCACACCGGGGTCACAGAAACACGGCCACTAAAATAAATTAAGGGCTTGAGACTCTGTCCTCCACCCCCAACTTTCAGAGCCAACAAGCAGACTGTACACGGGTCAATAATTTAAAACCCACCCCCAACGCAGAGTGCCCAGGGTGGGGTTTACCCTACTCCCCTTAAATTAGCCACTGTACAATTCTTCCTCTCAAAGGGTGGGGCAGCCATGAAATGGGGACAAATGGCCCCCTTGCCTCTTCTCAGCCCCAGGGGCCTGAGGCAGGGCTGCTGGAGGAAGTAACCTTGACAAATAAATTAAACAATAAATAGCCCCAGCGGGTGGGCAGGTGCCCGGAGGAGTCACACCATAAATAAGACGCTAGCATGAGGACACAGCTCTTGAGGCGTGGGCGGCAGAGGCCCGACTTGCATTGCTTGTGCGTGGGCATGCCCGGAGGACACCATGAGAAAAGGTGGGAGGTGGGCACAGGGACACTGTGCCCACAACCAGTGCTCCAGGCCAGACTCGGTCACACAGGCAGGCTGCCTCCTAGACCCAGCAGCACTGCAGGGGTCTCCAGTCCAAGTATGAACCCCCTGCAGGTGGGACCTCGCTTTACCCAGAGCAGTCTTTGGACAGACCCAGTCCTGTGGAGCAGCGTTCAAAAAGGCACTCAAAGCAAAGGAAACAGGCCCGGTGCCAAGGGCAGAGGTCACCAGGGATCAGAGGTCACTGCTTTGCAAGAGGAGTCAGGCAGCTGTGGTCTGTACTCCAGGGAGCCCAGGCCCTTCTCACAAGCTCTCACTGCTAGATGTGGTGCTGGCACCATCTTCAGTGTCCAGAGCACAAAGCCTTAGATCGCAGCTCTCCGGGGTGCCCCCCTCTTCCCCTAGCATCCAGGGGTGGGCGGCGATCTGGTCCAGGGAAGGCCGTTCAGAGGGTCGCAGGGACAGACACCACTCGATGAGCTGCTGGCACTCTGCAGGCAAAGGAGAGGGTCAGGGAGGGGCCTGGCTCCCAGGAGCAGTGCCTGCTCCTGGCTCCTTGGGAGACCCCCACGAAGGCACCGGGGGAGGCCCCTGCCAGCACCTGGGGAGACTCTCCTTCGGAAGAACAGGCGGCCCTGTAGGATCTCCTCATCCTGCTCGAAGGGGATGTCGCCACACACCATGTCATAGAGGAGCACTCCCAGGGACCACACGGTGGCCGAACGTCCGTGGTAGCGGTGGTAACGAATCCACTCGGGGGGGCTGTACACCCGAGTGCCTAAAGGAACATGCGGTAATCAGGCTGTGCACCCCTGATCATTAACTGTTCTCCGCCCAACCTCAAAATCCCGTTTGTCATCACCCTGGAAAAACCCCAGCGCAGGCGGGGCAGCCGGGAAGGAGGGGAAGGAGGAGCCGTCACATGAGCCAGAGCTCCGGTTTCACAACAAACAGAGGCGACGTGGAGCCGCCAAGACCCTCTGCCCCGCCCGCCTGAGCAGACTTAGGAAAGGGAGGGGGCGGCGGGGAGTCCCGGCTTCCCCGGCTCCGCAATGCGGGGATCTCTGCTCCACACGCAGCACGCATGCACGCACACACGCACGCAGGGAAGCCCCGCGCCTGCCCGCCCCTGCGTCACACGGGCTCCCTGCCGCCGCACCCCTTACACCCGCGCCGCGCACGCACCGTCGAAATCGGTATAGACGGTGTCCTTGAGCAGTGCGCCCGAGCCAAAGTCGATGAGCTTGATCTCGCCTGCTCGTAGATCCACCAGCAGGTTCTCGTCCTTGATGTCGCGGTGCACCACCCCGCAGCCGTGGCAGTGGCGCACGGCGGCCAGCACTTGCGCGAAAAAGCGACGGGCCAGCGGCTCGTCCAGAGCACCACGCTCCGTGATGAAGTCGAAGAGGTCCTGCGCGGGCTCTGGCCGCTCCAGCACCAGCAAGAAGCCGTCAGGCCGCTCGAACCAGTCCAGCAGTCGGATCACGCCGCGCGCGCCACCTGCCGCGCCCACCTTGCGCAGCAGCACGACCTCCAGGGGCACCACGGCGCCGCCCTGGGAACGCAGGGGGCAGGGAGTCGGCGCGGGCCCGAAATTCGGGTCGCGTGGGGGTAGACGCGGGCAGGGGAGACGGTCAACAGTAGGCGGGGAGGAGACGGAGCGGTCATCCCCAGGCGCGGGGAAGGTATGGCGATCACCGCCGGGCCACGAATGGGGATGACGCCGAGCCTCGCCCGCGCCTGCACTTACGAGGCTGCCCCACTCGGTCACTCGCTCCTTCACCACGTGCTTCACGGCCACCTGAGGGGGGACGGGGGCGGTCAGACCAGCGGTGAGAAGAGGCGCGCGCGAGCGAAGTCTACCCAGTGCCCGACTCACCGGGAGCCCGTCGGCGAGGCGGCTGCCCGCGTAGACCGTGCCGAAGCCGCCGCTGCCCAGCACGGCGCCCACCTGGTACAGCTTCTCGAAAATCTCCTTGTCTGCTTTGGCTGCGGGGAGGCAGACGGGTCAGTGCGAGCCGGGGACCCCGCCTGCCTGCCCGCCCGCCCGGCCGCGCGCGTACCTGGCTGCAGGAGCTTCACCGGGAGGTGCTCCACGCCGCCAGGCCCGCAGAGGTGCGCCAGGGAGCCGAACTTGGAGAGCAGCATCGCGGGCGGCCTTGCCTCGCTCCCGGCCGGCGCGGACGCGGGACGGCGGCCTCCCGGGCTGCGCCGCACACCGGGCCTATGGGGCCGAGGTGGGCGCTGGCGAGGCGGCCGCGCGGGGCAGTCCGCCGGGCCGCGCGTCTCCGCGGTGAGCGCAGCAGGCCGACCGGCTCACCCGCCCCGGCCGCCTCGCCCCGGGGTTTTGGGCCGCGGCAGCGCGGATCCCTCCGCGGGGGCGGGTCTGACGAGTCCCCGCCCCCTTCCGCTCGCGGTCTGCGCGGCACAGCTGCTCGCAGTCCTTCGAGGCGACAGTGGAAGTCGAGTGCGGCCTGTCTGGCCGGCGAAGACTGCGTCGCGGGCGGGGCCTACCGACCGCCGGGACTAGGTTGCCGTAGTAGAGTCGCGGAGGCGCACGGCGTGCTGCGGCTTTCGACCGCGCTCTCTTACTCTGCGCACGCGCAGCTCTGGTGCGGGCGCGGGCTGCGACGCCTCCGGGCGAGGCCACGCAAACCAATGGGCACCGAGGTTTTGAAAGGACACCGGGGTTCCAGCCAATGGAGGCGTGCATGAGGGGCGGAGCTCGAGGGCACCGCCCCCCGCCTGGCCGGGAAAGGTCACCGCTTGTCCCGGCGTTACACGCGCCTTTCTCCCACTCTACCCCGAGTGGGCGCCCCGGTGATGGTGGCGGTGGGCGCTGGGTGCCGTGGAGACGTGAAAGTTCGCAAGGGACCTCCATACTGCCCTAGTCCTTGAGGGGATAAACGTCGCGTTTGTGCGCCACTGGCGGCCCACGCTCCCTAGCGCGCACGTGGCCCGCGTGGGGACTCGTGCGCACCGGTGGAGACCCCTGCTTCAGTGGTTCGGGATCTGCAGCCCAATGGCAGGCTGGAGCCCAGGCGCCCACTTCCCATCCTGGCTCCAGTCTGGCACCCGCAGCCCAGTGGGCTGCCCCTCCCTGGTACCCTTACCCTGCTGATCTGTGCCTGAGGGTCGTCTGCCTGTCACTCACCTGGCGCCACCAAGCTGCCCACTGCCAGGGTCCTGGACTGCTGCGTTCTGTGGTTGGGGGCACAAGCCCCTGTCTCCACCTACACCACCTCTGCAGACCAGGCTCAACTACGTGGTGTGACCTGGCCCTGTCAGCGGCTGACCTCAGCCCAAGGTCACTGGTCCAAGCAGCTCAGGACTGAAGATGTGGTTGGCCACCTGCCAACTCTGCAGTCCTCAGAGGGGGTTTGAGAGCAGAGGGACTGAGGGGACCATTGTCCCCAGTAAGCGTCCATGCCAGGGCCTGAGCGTTGCCATAGATGTTCCAGGGCTAGATGGGGTGACCCTGAGCTCAGTCTGCCTAGGGGCCTCCCTCTGCTTCTCCACCCTGCCCCAAGCCTGGCCCCATCCCACCATCACCATTCCTGGTGCTCTGTTGGTGGCACTGAATGCCACAACCCTCCCTTGTTCTGACACTTCGACCTGAGCCAAGGCCCACGTCTCACCCAGTGACTCTAGCTCCCTCTCCAACCTCCAATGCCCTGGGCCCACACCTTGCTTGTGATAGCACCCCTTTTGCCTGGTGCACCCCATCTCTGCCTTCTTCTTTGTCTGAGGAGGACTCTGGTTCTCAGAGCCCTCTCTGGTTTTCCCTTGTATTTGGCCTATGGCAGCACCCTGGTCTGCAAAGAGCCCCTAGGGGGTCAAGTCCCTCAGTTCTGCCTGGGAGACAGCAGCAACCCACTTGCCAGGCCCACCCCTCTTTGGTCCTGGACAATCAGCATGTGCTGGGGAACAGACCTTGAGGCTGGGGAGGTAGAGAACGGGGCGAGGTAGAAGACCACAGCAGACCTTGCTGGCCAGTTCAACAGCTGGGAGAGGCTGGGCCCCCACCTCAAGAGTGAACTCCCGGGGGGTGTTCTCAAACTGTCAGGCTTGGGCCTGGCTGGTGCCCAGCTGTCAGCCCTTGAGACCAAGGTCTAAGAAGAGACACCCATGCCAAGGCCCCAGGCTCCTGAGTTGTTCCAAAGACCAAGCCCCCACACCTGCTGCACTGTGCATGCCCAGTGCCCATGCCAGCCCTGTGCTCCCTCCCCCATTCCAAAGGTGACTAAGCCCCTTTCCATGTGGTAGGGAGGGGTCCACAGCCTGATCTGGAGAATGAACGGGGCTAATCAGGAGGCTGCCTCTCTTGGGGATAGGGGTCAGCCTTTCTCCAAACACTTTTGGGGTGCGGGTTCTCTGTTGTGTGTGTGAAACAGGCCCCTGAGCTGACTCTGGGCTCTGTGACCAGTCAGGATGGCTCCTGACCCCCGCCCTGGCACTATCCTACCACCATCAGGCCTCCAGAGCCATCTGGCCTGAGGAGTGGGCTGGTGAGGGCCTGTTCTCTCTAACTGCAGCCCCCCAGACCACCATGACTGAGGGCCACATTAGAAACCCCTCTGCCTCCAGATGACCCTGGCGGAACCGGGAGTGGGCACAGTTCACCACTTGCTCACCTTGGCCTATGTATGTGCCCAGGGCACCCAGGCCATGACTCTGAGCCAAGACCCCGCTGTTGGCAGACCCACCTCCTTTTTCATGGTTCCTGGGAGGCCTTGAAAACAACCCCTTGCCCCCAGGCAGCAGAGCCAGGCTCACCTCAGTGGGAGTGGCCAGCAGGGGATGGGGGCCTGACTGCACCGTCTCTGCTTGCCCACTGCCCCAGCTGCCTAGTCTCTGCCTGCCTGCCCTCCTGTGAGCAGATGTCCCTCCTGAGGCTCTGCAGCCTGGCCTAGCCCCAAATAGTCAGTCCCCAGTGTTCCTGGCCCTGGAAACAGGGAACTCTGTGCACTGCGCAGCCAGCCCCTGTCCTGGTGGGAGGGGCTTGCTGTTGCCGTGGCAACGGGAGCAGACTAGTTCCCTGGATAAAGGGAGGAAGGCAGGGTTGGATGGAGGATGCCCCACACCCCTCCTCACTGGCAGGTGCTCACATGATAGCTGACACACGTGTGTGCACACACATCACACAAACACTCGGAGACCCTCGGAGGTGACTGGGGCAATGCAGTAAGAGTAGGAGGGTTCACATAGGGGCGTGTCTCCCACACTCCCCCAGCTGTCCAGCCCTGCCCCCCTCGGACCCTCATTCTGAACTCTCCTCTCCTCCAAGGGCCAGTCCTCAAGCCAACAGCAAGATCTCAGTCTGTATTCTCTGTCCCCTGGACTCCTACAGCACTGGCCTAGGCATCTTTGATGCTCTTCCAGCCTAGCCATGTCTGAGACCCCTCATTCCCCACCAAGGCCTGTGGCTCAGTCACCTCCCACGAGACCCCATCCACTGCTCTCAGCGTGGTCCAGGATCTCATCTCCAGTATCAGGGTCAGTTCAGTGGTGTCCAGCCCCCCAGTTCACAGGAGCAGGTGGCCTTGCCCGGACTGACCACCTCAGCCTTTGAGCCTGGGTTTGACCATGCTCCCCTGCAAGCCGCAGTGCTCAGCCCCCCAGCTGAGAGCCATGTGGCTTTAAGCCCAGCCTGAGCCTGGCCCCTGCCAGGGCTCAGTGAGGAAGCCACAGGCCCCTGCCACCTGCCCTGCTTGCCTGTCTGGATTGCTGTCTGTCCCTGTACCCAACCAAGCACACCTCTCACCTGGTGGGGAACGGAGCCAGCAAAACTGGCTGGGATTTTGCAATGATTCACCAAAGGCGTCCCGGGCAGGGAGTGCTCCGCTCCGCAGGGATGTGGACAGCAGCCTGTGTGAACTCTGGCCAGGCAAACTGCCCTGAGGCTGCTGGACACTAGCTGCCTGCCCAAGGGCCAGCCTGTCCTGAGCCCTCAGCGAGCTCACCTCTGCCATCGAGAACCACTGGCCTGCCTGCATGGGCAGCACCCTTGGCAGAAAAAGATCCCCCCAAAACACAGGCTGCCATGGAGCATCTGGGCCCACACCAGGCCCTCTACACAGCCGGATGCCTCTGTGCTCTCTGTAGCAGCCATGGAACCATGGGCTCCATGCAGACAGGAACGGTGCTGGACAGGTGACATTAGCCCACCTATTCCGGTTGGATCCACCAACCCATGGAGCTGTGATCTTGTTGTCCCTAAGCCAGGCCCCTAGGGCCAGCTGGAGTGGCAGGGGTTGGGCCCAGCTGTTGGGCTAAAGGTGGCTCTGCACCACAGACTTGGTCTTCAGTCAGGGCCCGGCCGTCCACAGCACTGGGGCTGGGCCATGTGTAGCTACCTCATGCAGCTTGGCCTCCCTGTAGTGGGACCCCTGTTGGCTGGTAGGGCTGTGAGACAAGGCTGAGACACTGACACGGGTGGATAGCATCTTGGGGCTCTCTGGGATGAGCCAGCCTTGGGGGACCAACATGTTTTCCAGCAGCTAGGCCACCTCAGGGACCCTGAGCTTCTCCCGGGGTCCGGCAGGTCCATGGGGTCTAAGGGCACAGGGCAGCTTTTCCGTCCTGTAGGGATAGCCTTGGCCCCAGGTGGGGGATGTTGAGAAGGTCAGGAGAAGGTTGAGCTGGGGCCCCCAAGGGGGGCCTGTAACAGACCCGGGCACCTTAGCAGGGCTCCACAGCTGGGCTAGAGCAGGGAGCCACAGGGAGCGGAGACACAAAGCATGTGCTGGGGTCACGCCTGTGAGGCTCAGAGCCAGCTGGGGGGTCTCCCTGAAGGACAGGGGCTGGTGGCCTCAGTCCCAGAATCTTTGGGGACTGGGCTCTGAGCTACAGTTGTTGCCCCCAGGACTAATGGTGCGGAGTCACCCCCTGGGTGCTCCTAGGTGGTCACGCTCAGTGTGATGGCGGGCTTGGGGACGCACACTCGGTGAGCGCTGGCTGGATACTGGCCAGGTCTCTCCCATGCATACCATGTCAGCCCAGGGCACTGCCATCAGGCCTGGAGGCGAGGGAGGGCGGCCTTGGCAAGAACAGGGACTTGGGACAGGACAAATCCCGTGGGTGGCAGCTGGCCCTGCTGGGCACTTGGACAGGAATGTTGCTGCCAGCACATGAACTCTGCCCAGGAACAGGTTGGGCGGGACACGGCAGGGCAGCCCTGTGAAGCAGTAGGCCAGGCTCCTTCCGGAGCCCCATGCACCCAGACATGGTGGGTCTCTTCCAGAGGCTCAGAGACAGACCCAAGGGTGAGGAACGAGTCTTCC